TGTGCAAGAAGTATGAGCTGAGAGAAACATGAAAGAGAGGAAGGTGAAGAGGACAAATAAAAGAATAAAACAGGAGTGGAGAGGGAGGAGATTTATGCCGGCGCTCGTCGTTATTCATGCTTGACTCTCCCCTGATGGAAGGGAAACATTGGCCCTGGTGATACAGTGCTTTCACCGGGACAATAAATATGCTTTAGTACAGATAGAATAGAGAGAGCTTATCTTGCACAGTAGTGTCAGTGGCTAGCATTCAAAAGCTGTTATCGTCGACACTCAATATATACGATATGAGAAATACAGTCAGACAAGTATCCAGCAGAGGAGTATAACATAGGCAGACAGGTGACGGATCCACTATAGCATCACATATATATGTAGGTTACATAGTACGTATGGTGTATCATCTGTATATACTGTGAGAATGCATTTCAATATCACATGTATCCCTCTGTATCTGTTTGGTTTTCTATTAACTTGTGAAAGTGTTAATCTTCTTCTTGCTTTAGAATAGCAATGTGCGTTCTTAAGATTTATTTTTCAGTCTACGGCGTTGCCACCTTCTCCCGCTATCCAGAAATGAAGGTAGATATCCTGGATAAGAACGCTGCCATCTTGTCTGTGCAGTGGCGACTCTGGCTCAACCAATCGTGAGCCAGTCTCGGATGTCAATTATGACGTCTCACACTGTTTCTATAGAATCAAATAACTAATTGAAGCTTCTACTTTCTAGTTTGGTCAATGTTCCATCCACTAACATGGAGTAGGCAGGGGATAAACCTAGCCAGATGCCAGGAGCTGTCATGTTGTCCATCTTTATATACAGTTTAGAAATAAAAAAAGGATTTATAAATTATAATTGTGTCTCTGATTCTTAGTTTGAGCTGTTATACAATGCACTGCAAGTATTTGGAATCTTTAAAGTTCAGATGAAATTGTACAATGGTTTTGTATTGAGGAGAGTCAGACAGGTTTCTGAACTGTGTAACAACGTTGAAGACTAATTTCTGTGTGAACGTGGTTTCCTTTATCTGATTGTGTTATGTCACTCTTGTTTTGACAGTGTTGACAGGTTAATTGTGCTGTTCTGAAAGGTTTCCAAGGAAGGTATATAAAATCTATATCTTTGTACATTCACATATAGGCTCTCTGAAGTCCTGTACTGCACCTTTTTGTCTGACTCCAACACAAATATAAGTACAACACGTCTTTAATAGTGTTGACATATCCAACATTACAGAAACAGCTTCGTAAGCAACACGGAATGCTTCATATCTGGATGGTTCTGATAGATTGGATGGATTTGAATTAATTTTCCTCTGTGATCATCGAAACACTTGAACTGGAATCACGTTGTTATCGGCTAAGTGTGTAATCTTCACTCGTGCGCATGTTTCCAGACGGGGGGGGGGGGGATTTGTGAAAAGGTGTGATGGAGGAGCTGCAGTGGCCCAGGACACATCACAGCCCGGCCTGGACAACGACTCGATGTTTAATGTACTGTGGATGTCAGCACAACAGACCTCATTAATGTGACTAATGAAATGACAGCTCAGTAATGGTGGTGATTGCAGAGTTGAGGAGTGATTTAGGAGGTTTTACTGTAGCTCCCTTCAAGGTGCTTGAACTGCATTTGCCGGATGATTCCGTGTGCAGCCGGCCACAGTGCTTATTACCAATGGAAACTGTTGATGCAAGCTCATCATTATGCCCTCGTTGTGCACAAGAATCAGTGAGGTGACGACATTATAGGTAAATAGTGTCAATACAAGTTCGTTTTGATCATTTGGAGCGTTACCCCGTACTGAATAGTTAATGTGTGTGTGTTGCACGTCTGATGTGGGGGTTGCATGTATTTATGTAACACCAACCTGTTTTTAGCTGATGTTCCTCTTCATGTCTTTTAGGTGTTCTGCACGTCTTATCTCTCACTCTGTGCTTTAATATCTAGCTGTGCCAGTTTCATTAGCTTGGTTTGTCTTTGATTTGCTTGCATCAAAACATAATCATTCCTTAATATTTTTTTACTCCCACTGCTGTGGGGGTTGACTCGGGCCAAAGAGGGGCTGATTTCCAAGACCTTCTCATACCTCTCTTCACTCCCACCTGCCATGCTTGGATTAAGTCCATTATTTCTGATCCCTTCTTTAAATCCCTTTTTTTGTCCCATACCTGATGATGGCAAATTTCATTCATTGCTGTTATTATGAGAGCAATATGCAGCTCATTTATCTGCAAAACTTCTTTTGTCGTCGGGATGTGGAACTGCTATAAAATTCAACTAATATTCAATTTGAGTCTTAAAATATTCACTAATAAGAGCTACAATATGAATTAGGAAAACTCACCCCAATTACAGAGCAAAATACCATTTGAATAAAAGTGCTGCAAGGACATATTTCATTAAAGTTTAAACACTTAACATGGAGGCAGCTGAGAAATGTTTCTGATTAAAATCGAGCCGCAGAATTGCAAATGCTCATAAAAATCCATATTGCTCATCAAACAGTGGAGGCGGGAAAGTGTTTCATATGCATGAACTCTACACGTTCCTGCACTTGTTGAGTATTAGGTCTTTGCGACATCGTATCCTTGTGTATCTGCATGAACGCATCATGTTAAACACGGCCATCCCTAAACTGTTTTTTATCTTTCTCTCATGGCGTGTTGGGGGAGACGGTGAGAGGGGGGAGCCAGGAGAAAAGTAATGTTTCTCTTTGAGCTTTGCGTTGCTCTTGGTATTCTGTTCACCAGGGAGGGAGGTGCTGAGGAGTCGGGGTGGTGGGAGGGTGGCAGCGTGATTGGTAAGAGTCAGGGTCTTTCATTTTGTCATGTGGGTTGTTTTTTTCATATCGGAGCTGATTTTTTTTCTCTTCCACTGGAGGGCTACTTCCATTCACTTGAATGTATTATTTCTCGCGACGAGGAAGTTGATGAATTCGAATATCTGTGAGTGAGTCTGTGTGCGCCCCCCTGCGTGCATTAATGCTGCCTCCGCGAGTGTGTGTGTGTGTGTGTGTGTGTGTGTGTGTGTGTGTGTGAGAGAGAGCAAGCCACGCTTTCATGGCTGTTTCAGATCTCTCCGCCTCACAGTTCGACAGAGCGAGGGAGCCAGGAGGGAGAGAGGGAGAGAGAGATGGAGAGATAATGGGAATGGAGGGTGAAAGAAGGCTAACACAATCTTTAATGAGTTTCCTTGGCTCTCTTTGCCTGTTTCTGGGTCAGGGTCCCCTGGCTGAGGATGTGGGTGGAGGACTGTGGAGCAGAGAAGACGAGAGTTAGCCAAGGTCTGCTGAAATAGACTTCTACATTAAAGAGTCATCACCTACATAAAGACATAAAGGATGAAAAGCTTGACTCTGTTTCAAAGTTGTTTTTCTTTCTTGTTTAGACAGCAGGGGATGAAAGTTGATCAGCTAATGATGTTCCAGCTCTTCATCACACAAACTGTGTAGAGGCGCTTTCTCTTAAAGTCAGAGGTCACTTGAGGCTTAAATGCGTCTCCTCAATTAGCGGCAGATTAGGAGCCAAGGAAAGAGATGAGCAAAACTTTTTTACACACACACACACGACATAACACTTTCATAACGCAACACAGACAAACCCCTCCTGGGGAGGGTGGCTTTGGTCACTCTCTGATTGGCTCCCGCTGCCCTTTCATTTCCGAGCAATCAGCTCCAATCTGCGGCAGGTATGGAGGGAGCGATAACATTAGAGAGACATCAGAGGGAGATATCTGCACAGCCGGGACGTTATTTAGTGCTCCCGAAGCATCCAGCAGGCAACCTCTGTCAGACAACGAGGCTCCGGCGTGTCCACACAGGACAGGGAGGCGGGTAGATGGAAGGACATGGACGAATTACTGATGGGCTGATAAACCCTTTCGTTATCTGAACAGCCTACCTTCCCGCGTGTCTTCTCCTGTGCTGTGTTTCTGCCCCAACTCCATTCCGATGTCTCAATCTCCGTCTGCCGACCTGAGTTACTTTTGCCGCCTCTCTCTCTACCTGTTCTCCTCCGTCTCTCTTCTCTCTCTCACCTTCTGTTTCCCGCTGTATCTCTGTCTCTATTACTCTGCCTTCTTTCTTTCACACTTGTAAATAATTGATGTCTACCGGTTCGATGGTAAGAATAGAACAGTTCTGGAGGTGACAAATGGGGTGGCGAATAGGCCTCATCCTCCTCTCTTCAAAGAGTTGGAAAGTTAGCCGTGCTTGCTCGTGGGCGTGTATGCCCATGTATTTGTGTGCTTGTGATGTTTTGTGCCACTGTGAGCATTTGTTCATGTTTGTGTGTGTGAATGTGTGCGCGCGTACGCATGCAGTTTTTTGTGTGTGTGATTTAAGACAGGGAGATGAAAGGGAGCTGTAATTACAGGGAAGCGTATCTGTCTACTGCAGAAGTATCCGAGGAATGGCACAAAGTGGGCCAAAAGCCTGAGGTCATTAGATGTGCTGGGTGTGTGTGTGTGTGCATGCGTGCATGTGTCTGTAAGCTGGTGAGAGCGTGTGTGTGAGTGAGTGAGTGAGTGAGACAAATGTAAAGAGAGAAAATGGAAGACAGAGAGAGATCAGCTTATAACTTCAGTTCCTCAGAGTCAACCTCTGAACTCTGCTTCTCATTATTGGCTCTGCCTCTCTCTCGTTTCTCAGCAGTAGCTGGTTGTGGTTAGACCGAGCAAAGGCCCGGTTCCTCTAAATCCATGCAGCCTTATTGCCTGAGAGGAATCCAGAATTTCCTGCTCTCCAAAATACACTTGTGTAAACATTCCACAATATCAAATGATAGGGATTTCACTGTGTACTGTGAGGATGGATAATCCCATGCAAAGACTGTGGTTCTAATTCACTGTCCCACTGTCTCTTGTCTGCTCTCCTTTCCCCCCCTACGCCATCTTTTCCTTCTTTCTCTTTCTTTCTGCCCCCTCTCTCTCCCTTCCTCTTCCCTTTCATCTCTTTATCCCTCCTGCCCTCAATCTTTTCGTCATCTCTCCCTTTTCACAGATGAGGATGACTTCATCGGTCTTGGTGATCTGCCGGAAACCTTCCCGTCAGACCCCCCGGAGCCCCTGCCCGTGTTTTTGATGGAGCCGGAGGAGGCCTACATTGTCAAGAACAAGCCGGTCAACCTATACTGCAAGGCCACACCCGCCACCCAGATCTACTTCAAGTGCAACAGCGAGTGGGTTCACCAGAAGGAGCACACTGTGGAGGAGCGGGTTGACGAGAACTCCGGTCAGTAAACACGTCAGCTGAATGCATATTCAAGTAAACAAGCCCTGTGTCATAGAAAATTATTCATGTATACAACCACTTTGCATTTGCAAATATATTGTGTATTCTGACCAGATTGTGTTTTTAACAATATAACAAGGAGATGTTTATCGAGCCCCAAATGTTTTTTATAGGATTTATATTGTTTCCCCCACAATCACTCCTATTGTGTGATTATGAAAGCAGTTGGATAGTGAAACATCCTGGCTTTGAAAAATTTACAGAAACATATATTGTAAATACTATATATATGAACCAGATTTAGTTTTGGTTTAGGAAAGACATAAACTTGGTTTGGAGCCATGGTCCAAACTTTACATGTGTAAGCATCAGTATAGATCTACAACACATGAGAAGCGTCATGCAAATCTTGATCAAGTTGCAAACATCACGGCATTCGTCAGTCTTCATGATTCACACAGCAAATGAGTTGCTTATAATCATAATTTTTTAGGAGGTAAGATTCATAAAAGACTATATACTCACAGTTTGTGCTCACTTAACTGTGTCTGCTTATCAGTTTTAGAGGTCAGTGTCTTTAATCATCTTCTGGCATCACCGTGTTTGGAGAATTGACTTTGACGAGGAGAGCCTCACCTTTATTTCAGCATAGCGACCCCACCTCTGCAGTTATGTGTGCCTCGGAGTGTCCTGGTATGTGTTAATGTACATGTTTGCGAGCATCTAGAGGAAGTGCAGGCAGTGAAGCTCCAGCAGGGTTGTTTTCGACAGAATTCAGCCCCTGAAGGCACCAGAGCCATTACACACAACAGCCCAGCACTGATTGGCTGCATTCAGCGGCTGTATTGGAAATTGAGTTCCTTCTGTCGCCCACAGGTACCAATCACATCACATTTACCCTTTTCATCCCACTGTTTTGCTACACAGGTCTGCATGGTCACACACAGACGCACTGACAGCTGTTCCTTCAATAAAATGTGGATGCTTCTGCACGTAAACACACACCAATGTACTAGAATGAACAGGGAGCATTTTTTCAAGCTGAAGCTGAGGTATTCAGTAAAAATACCTCTTTAGTGTTAAAATAAAAAAAGATGTATACTCATTATCATACAAAGAAACAAGGAAAACATTGTTCCAGAAGGAAAAAATGAAATATCACATTGACTTAAACATTCACACCCTTAACTTGGTAGATAGAGCATCTTGGTGGTGATTACAGCCTCAAGCCTTCTTAGGTGTGACACAACCAGGATTTTCCACCATTCTTCACTGCAGATCTTCTCTGTCAGTTTGGATGGCCATCTTCACGTGTCTCCAGAGATGTTTCATTAGGTTTGAGACGGGCCACTCAAGGACATCACAGATTTGTCTTAAACCGCTCCTGTGTTGTCTTGGCTGTGTCTTGAGGGTCATTGTCCTGTTGGATGGTGAACCTACTGTTCAATGTGAGGTCCTGAGCTCTCTGGAACAGGTTTTCATTAATAATCTTTCGGCAGCAGGGTTGTTCAGTAACACATGAGAACACTTTGCATGTCAGCCAGCACAGTAATGTCCATGCTACTTATAGTGAGTCACGATTTTCAGTGAATGAATAAGCTCAGGTTGCATCAGAACAGCGTTTGAAGGTCATGTCACTGCTGTAGAGGAGAAATTCATGAACGCCACCACTACATCTCACTACATCAACCTTAATCAGCAGAATCACCAGTAACAAGCTGGGCTCAATTTATTTAAATCAGTCACAACAGTGTCCCCACCTATCAATATTTATATCTTTTGCTTGGATTCAGAATTTGTTAAACATGACTCATGAATTCTTCTCTGTTTCTTTAGCACAAGAAATTCCACATTGAAACAACATGGCACTGAGGGAATAAATTAAACATTAGCTCAAATAAATATATAACAAACTTATTCCTTCAGCTATGATGATTTTGTCACATGTTAGGGCAGATATTGATATTGATCATTTGTGCTTTCTACCATAGATTTGATATTGGCATTCTTCCACTGACATGGTGTTGCAGTCTGGATGTGATGCATATGGATGAGTGCTACTCATGCAGTCGATGTTGTTTTGCGTTTCTTGCATATTATTTTCCGATGTCAGTTGTCTAGGCTACGCTGTTTTCCCAATTATGTAGCGTTTTCCCTGTAATTATCTGCTCTGCTCACATACCTATCCCCCACTGCATTGCTTAAAATCCTATATGTTAAAGACTGTTTGAAACAAGTTTTTCCATCTGAGCCCTACTGCCCACCTCTGCTTTTCAACACACAGTATCGCCCTTGGTTTATATTGAAAAAAATAGAATTGCAATTATTTTAGCACAAGTCTTCATCATAAAATGTCAAGAGAGGTCTGAAAGCCTTTCTGAATGCACTATGCAAGAGGGGAGTTGCAGCCAGAACAAATCTAAATGTAGTATTTAAAAATCAACCTGAATCTCAACCTGAAATCCTGAAATCCTCTCATTTTGACAAATCGATTAAAGTAGCACTGGCTCTTTGCCTTTGTGTGAAAAGGTTTCGTTCAAAAAGCATCAACATGGAAAACAGCCCACACATCATACACAAACCCACTCCACACAGCCAGATCCACAGGCTATTTACCCAACACATATTCCTTCATTTATGCTCTTGCACCCCTCATGCACACGCACATGCACTACACAACTAGAGCTCATGTGGATGTGTGCAGCCTCTCTCGGCCCACTCCATTGCTCTCTGATTTCCCCAGATTGACGGAAAAGGAACACTGACAGAAACCGGCCAGCCTGGTCAATACCACTGATAGTGTAGCCCAAAGAAATTGGATCTCTCCCTCTCTGCCCTTTATCCTTTGTTTCTCCCTTTTCTCTCCTCTCTCTGTCTCACTTCCATGTTGGCACTGATCACTGAGAAACTAAGACGAAATGAGATAAAATTATATTAAGGCAGCAAAATAGACAGAGAGAGATTGAGGATAGAAACTGCAGATGTTCTTTTAGACTGCGTCTATTCCATCCCAATCCAGATGTTTCACTTATATGACGAGTAAGGTGCCTTTAACTTTACATTCACAACATGACAATATAATGTGGGTATTTGAAATTTGAAATGGACTAGTAGTCCTTAACAGCTCAAAGGGTTGGGGTAATGTTTTTTTCTGTACAGTTACAATTATGAAAAAGCAACAACTCAAGCAACACTACACAAAGGTGAATAAAAGAACAAGTTGGGGGATGGATACAATAAAATCGTACGGTTAAATCAGTGGATAAGACAGCACAGTTGCCCATAGCAACATGCCCTCACATGATGCCCTGAGATAACATCTAAGAAAAAAAAAAGAAAATAACAAGCAAACAAAGCCACCAATAGAGCTTTTACAGTTCTGAGGGCGTTACAACGCTCTTACTGGACAGACTGTGTATACTGTACAACCACAGACGCCCAAGTGGTGGTTTTATTGCTCTGACAATAACACTCACATGACATCTTGTCTACAGTTCGCCAGGAGGCACACAGGAGATTCAAGTCCGCTTCAAGAAGCTTGTATCTCACCTGCTAAAAGCAAAATGTGTGCACCATCAAAAGGTTGCAATGTAACCAGCAAGATTGGACTTGATTCACTGATGGACTTTCCCCTGACAATTTTTCCGTGCAGTGTGAAACAACTCACTGGCCCTCGCTTTTCACACACCAGACCACATGTAGGATGCGACACACGGTGGGCCGCGTGGTGCATGTCTGACGCACAAGCACTTGACACAAAAGAAAATATTGTGACGTGATTACCATCTCAAGTGGTGTAATTGAGCAGCATCATTTTCTAAGGAGCAGGTAATTACATTAAAACAATAATATACCATTTGCTTGCATGTGATTATTCTTTGAGACGCAGCCAGTTAACACAATTAACATCAGAGAAATATGTGCTTTTCCCCAAAACATTAATGAAACATCAAATGAAAGGAAACTGCTCTGTGTGTGTTTTGGCTATTTGATTTTCCTTTTTAGAAACTTTTCGTAAAAAGCAAATCCAGTCTAATAGCTCCAGTCGTTCAACATTAGGCCTTGGATTACTCATCATCGTTGATACGTTTTCAAACCGTAGGAATAACTGCAGTCTCTGGTAGTTTTTGCTTCAGCAGTGAACTATAAAGAATGGGCCTTTATTTGTGTCCAGTTTGTTTTTATACATTCTTTATTATACGAATCAGAAAATCAAGCCTCTTTTTATTCAATTTTCATTCTGATGATGAAACAGAAAAAACATTTCACATGACCAAAAGAGACACGAACTGAAAAGGGGAAAATGGCTCTATTTCCACAGGTGACAGTTGGATTGTCGCTGTGTTTAGGTTGTTGTGTTGTTAAAGTGCAGCCGAGCAGCGGTAGGGGAGACATGGATTTTACCACTGATGATTCTCTGATGCAAACTGTAAACTGTTTTCCATGAAATAATGGGGACGCACATGAAAAGAAGCCGTACATTCACATCATGTGCAGCAAATGTGACTTAGCAAGAATGAAAAAGAAGGAGGGAACAAAATGCGATGGCAGTGTTTCCTCATCCTACTGTCACCTGACGTTTACTTCTCAGCGCAGAGGGCAGGTTAAAGTCTCCTGTGAGCGACCGGGAGCATTGATCTGAGCAAATGAGCAGCAAATTAATTATGAGTAGGCACAGCTAGTGTTATATACACTGGAGACAGCTTGTCACTCTCTTGGAGAAACGAGTGAGGAGATCAAGCAGGAGTGCTCTCCATCTGGGCTGATAATCACAGCACTTACTCCCTCCTCTTCCTCCTCCGGCTCTCCTTCGATGACCAATGCCTTCCTCCACCGCCTGACCCGTCTGATCAATAACGTTAGCCAGTGCAAACACTAAGGAGCAAGCATAGCTCCCTTTAATGACCACATGAATAATGAATCATCTCCAACAAGGCGCCCTACTTCAGCCGCCTATTAATGGGGACATATTGTAGAATCATTCCTGCGGCTAATGGCCA